GGCCGGTATTAGTCTTTTTATTTTAGAGGCTCTGTCAAAATTTCAGATAATTCAATGTATTGCTTTTTAAAAAAAGTTACATTTCAGATTATGCCCACTGACACACTTTTTTATGATCAGGAAATGTAACTTTTCTCTCTCAATTTGCAACGGATTGCATTGAATTTTGGCTTGATTGATTCCTCATAGTGCCAGCTCAGGGGCTCTTTTCCTTACTTTGGATTTAAACAGCTAGATAATCAGTTATTAACCATAATTTCGCACAACAGAGAAGTTGGTAAAGTAGAAACTCCGGTGGATATACTGAATGCCCTTAAAAATGTCTCAGAGACGTCTTTAAAGACGTGTTGTAATGTGTCTTTCAATACGTCTTTAATTTAGATAGGATGGACTATGGCTTAGGTAACTATCTCCTGAGTTGAGCGCTTGCAACATCTAGCAGATGAATATTTTAATACAGAGTTGAGAGAAACAAAGGAGATATTGTATAAAAATGTAGAATTATTCGTTTTTTTTTTTTTTTTTGTTTTTTTTAGGAAATAAGGAGTACAAAAAAAGGAATACAAAAGAATTTTCAAAAAAAAAAATTTTTATGGCTAAATTCATATAAACTAGCATCCCATTTATTTTATTGTCATCCCATAAGAGTGACAGAGATAAGAAAGCAGAACTGACCTCTTTACACAAACTCGTTACTGGTTCAGTTAGCTAGCATGCTAGTTATTGGAACAACACAGCTCAAGGGGTAGTAGGTTCGGTACCCGGTCGGGGCACTTAGATTTTTATGATGGTTTATACTTAGTATTCGAATTCATAACACCGACTGAGTAATGAGGTTTTAAAAATTTAAGATTAAAAAATTATAAGCAATTAAAAGATAAGAATTGGGACAAATTCTTGATAACTGGTCATGAGTGACCAGAAAGATGGATGTAAGATGTATGCAAATATAGAAATGACATGTAATAACAGCAAAAATAATAGAAAAATGAATAATAATACCACGAAAAACAACGTTCTGTCTATTTTTTGTGTGGATATGTTACAGTTGCTGAATGGTAATTAAGAGTCTAAAATGTCTGGTTTAAGATGAGTTTCAGTAAGTATGATTATTCTAGGTGTAATTGTAAGTGCTACATTTGATTTAAGTGTAAATATAAAAGTAGTATAAAGATAAAAGTTTTTAATCATGGGAATTCATATGCTGCATTGTCGTGAATACGCTAATGGAACTTACTAAAAATTTATTTAAGATATCCTGAGCTATAACGTATCAAAAACTATGTTTTTATAACAAGTTAAATGTGTAGATGTCATTTACTTTTCTAATTATTTGTATGATTTTAATTTTAAATTTACAGTTTATGTATCGGCTCCTAGAATGAAGTTGAAAGAGATAAGAGAATTTATGTCAGCACTCAAGGATGTTAATGGGTGCGATCTAAAGGAACTCTACTGAATTTAAGTCAATATTATCTGTTGTTTTCATGGAATATTTAAAAAAAATAAGAGTTATAGAGGAAGAAATGTTGTCATAACTATTATAGGAGTCCAAGGTATTCATACAAGTTAGTCACATCCTAAGATTTTGTCAGCAGTCATCAATTAGTAGACATAAGAAGTACCAAAGCAGTGATCTTGTCTGCTCTACGCGCATCGTACGTATATGGTAGACAAAAGTGCGTGGTTATTGGTCAGTTGGAGTTCTGTAATATCTCCGTGCAGACTTTTAACTATAAAACTAGAAGTATGATTTTATCAGTTATTGAAGTGTTGAGAATCACTTAACTTTTTTAACTCAGAATATTATCATCAATAGTATGATTATTCAGTAAGCTTGTATTTTCGTTTACTATCACACAAAAAGGAAAGTTTCCGCACTTTCAGAATGCCAGCTTTGACCACGACCAGAGGGTGCTGTGGTCATTTTCAAAGCGAATATGTTCACTAAATCGCTTGTCGTTGTTTTAGATTATATCTCTAATAGCATACGTTTAAAAAATGTTGAAGAAACGTTGTTCTTAAAACTTTACATCGTTGTAAAATGAGTTTGCCATATCGTGGTAAAAACAATGTAAAAAACTTAAAAACGTCCTCTTACTTTTGCAACTAAAATTTATATCTGGACTAATTAGGCCACTAATTGTGTGGCGTCTAACATCTCTCGCGCTTCAGTCTCTACTCGCCAGGTGGCCAAGCCCCTAATAGTCAACTCCCGTCAAGCGGCGAAATTCCCGCACGATTACTATATAATCGCGATCGAGTCGATCTGAGCCCACACCTCTTCTGTGTCTAAGGCAGGGAGCACGTCATCAGCCTTACTGATGAGTCCTGGCGTGCTCTCGGGACGAAACACCTTTTTCTCTCTCAAGTAGGCGATAACAATCGCTACAGTGGTGACCCCGACAACGAACAAGCAAAATGCTTGCAACCTTCTGATGTACTCTCACGCATCTCCGCATCCTCCACGCCGGGTACACACAAATTGCAGCTAATCCCCACACACTTCGATCTCATCGCACAACTCGCTCACACACGGCAACACGCCCCGCATCGTGGCTAGAGCATCATCTGTTCGCCTCTCTCTAGGACTCTCGCAATAGAGCGTGGAAGACGCGGAGGTCCAACAAGACTTCTTCAAATACATCTTTCTCCCTCTCAGGCCTTTACACCCTCATCATTCATATCGTCACTTCCTCCTATTACACCATCATCGTGACTGGGTGGAGAGTGATGTGGCGTCTCACATCTCTCGCGCTTCAGGCTCTACTCGCCAGGTGGCCAAGCCCCTAATAGTTAACTCCCGTCAAGCGGCGAAATTCCCGCACGATTACTATATAATCGCGATCGAGTCGATCTGAGCCCACACCTCTTCTGTGTCTAAGGCAGGGAGCACGTCATCAGTCTTACTGATGAGTGCTGGCGTGCTCTCGGGACGAAACACCTTTTTCTCTCTCAAGTAGTTGACCACATTTCCTACAATTGCACTCATAAAGATTCTCAAGTAGTACAGTCGTAATAAGTAATCAAAAAAATATGCGGACATTCTTAACGGTCACGTCAGTCATGCATTGTTTTTACGTTATTCGCTGGGTGCAGGCGGTTGAAGGGGATACGCGAAATGTTAGAAGCGCCCATGGTGAGCATTTAGTGTAATTCGGGTGCCGAAGCTTGCAGACGACGCCATCATCGAGTGAATACAGTCATATACTTGACAAGTAACCTTGGAACTATATTCACACCAGCAAATTTTTCTTCTCAGCTGTCGTCTGTCGTCTGCATATTGTGACACTCGAGATTCACTTTTTCAAAGCTGTACTGGAGGCGCTGCGTGCTATGCACCCAGCGAAGAGCAATCTTATTTTACAACGTTTAAAAGTTTTAAGAACAGATTTTTAGCGTTTTTAAAATATTGTAAGCTATTAAGATAAAAATTAATTCTAATCAATTTCACGGCGTAAAGTTTTTATAAAGATGGTCAGCCGAATGTTTTCTTATAATACTGAATGCAATGACATTCCTCTATTAACTTAATTAACATGTATTGGATCTGTTTGTTATTATCGAATCTTCCGTTACACACGCTTGGAATTTTGACTTAGATCGTAGTTACGCGAGATATAATATAAGCTAAATAGAACTTTTTGTTCTATTTGGACATAGTTGTACCATATCATCCATTCATTTAGAAAGAAAAAATTCTATTTGGTATCAGCTGGCCATATTCGATAAAATATAATTACTACTACCTTTTACAAAAGATTTCTATTTTTTAATTTTATTACTTGGTCCATGTTAAGAAAGTCACACAGTAACGCTAAGGACTACTATGATTTTCACATAATTAGTTACATTTAGTTTGTTTTGGCTTATTTCTTCTCAAAGATCAACAAACTCTCTTCAATACCCCAGAAGCCAATGAAAATCTATATTTGAGCATTAGATTATCAAGATATATGTAGCAGCTGAAATATTTGCCACATTTGGTCATAAATTTCATCAATGTTATGATTACTAACACACGATTATGCATGTACACTTTGAATGGTGCTTTTTCGGGATTACCCCTACAAAATAATCAATGTTTTTTTTGCATTAAATGATAGGTTATTGGTTCAATTCATGTAAGACGTTCATTCACTGCTAATACTACAGAGATTCATGCAAAAAAAAAGACATTTTTAGTGATAATCTTGTAAAAAAGAAATCTTGGTAGGTTTTGTATTACCATGTAAAACAAAACTTAGTAAGTATTACATTTTTTATTTAAGTTTCAAAGAAAAACATAATTTTTTTTTGGAGGGGGGGGACCCAAAAAGTACCCTCTAAATATTTTTACAATCTTCTCGGACAGCTCAGTGAGATTCTAAAAGGGCACTTAAAATAGTAAAACTATCAACTTCCGTCTAACTTTACCCTAATAGGCTACAGTGTCCAATAACTTAGTTTAGGGTTATCAAATCTATGTGAACTTTGATCAACCTATCCGAGAATGTTTATTTCCATAGGGTCTATACATGCAACTTACTTATTACGATATTTACATTTGAGCTTTGCTATATTGGCATTACAGACATACCTGAGGCTAATTTCTTAGAGGCCTTAACTTCACATCTATGTTTTACTCTTCTAAATGTAGTAGAAACAGCATACTTAGCCACGATTAAGTCCTTTACTTATTTGGATAGTATACAAATAGTAAATAAATTTTCTGCAAATTTTGGCATCTGTTACTTGTGAGCCATTTAAGAATACAAAAGAAAATGTTGAATAAAAAAAAAATTATTAGATTAGTGTATAGAAATACACAAAATAACTGTTGAACCTGGTATGGGTCTCATTATAAGAACCACATGATACTCTTTGAGTTACAAAAAAAGTCTAATGAACAGTATACAATTTCAAATATTTCTAAACTATTTCACATTATATTCAAGTTATTAACTCTCTTGTTTCAAGCTTACATAACAAAAAAAAAAACCACAGTTTGAAAGGCTTACCAATGTCATCCTCATTAAAGTAAAACTGTGATCCTAAATCAGCTATCTTGCATACAGCATCGTCGTGTAAAGTAACTGATTTAACACCACCAAGAATAATGTTTTTTGAAATTTCTACTCCTAAGCCTCCTAACCCAGAGATAAGAACATCAGAGTTGGCCATTCGCCTCATAGCATCATGGCCCAAAACATATAATTGACGTGAATACAGCCCTTCATCAATATCTGTTTCTAGTTGTGCAGACTTCGAACCATTTTTTGCCATTACTGGAATTTTTGAGAGGTTTTCACTACCTCTGTCCGTATGGGCAATACGTCGCTTCTTATTTGGTGGATCAACAGAACTTTCAACCACTTCAGCACTAGACATCGGACTTTACAAAAACCAAAATGATGTACCTTGGATTTTCAATAAAAAACTTCCAAAAGTACCAACTATCAACTCTATCAATTACTGAATGTAATCTGAAATGCAATTATGATTTAGTACTCAAACTATCATTACAACAGATTTCGTTACATTCATTTCTTTCAACAAATGTAGGAAAAAGTAGTCTAAAATTATTTAGCAATTTTTTGGACTTGTTACTGATTATAAAAAAAATATTGCAGAGATTTAAGCTTTCAGACTCAAAACTTACTTAGATGTTACATAAAACGAAAAATAAAGAAAATAAAATGTTCATTTCAGGAATATGGAACAAATTTGTTTGGCATGCAGAAAAACAAAGAATTGTAGGCCTTACTATTTCTAGAAATCGCAAATTAAACTCACCTCGAACGAATTTCGGAAACTAAATCCAAGACATTGAACCATTATTTCTTACACACGTCATGTAAGCAAATAATTGTTTTTTTGTATCATAGTTATTTGTATAACCAATGTTCAAGGAGTACAGATATGAAAAAAAAGTTGGAAAGGTCTATAATTGACTTAATTGAAGAATTTATCACTACACTGTACAGTGAACAATTTGTTCGCTAGTGTAAGCTTATCAGTTATATTGAAAACACGTATCACCAATCCCACTAATTATATAGCGTGTAACATAGTTTCCAATGATCTTTACAAAATCCAATGGTATCGAAAAAAGCTTTTCATTAAATAGAGTAGGTATGTTCACGATTTTAAATCGGACGAGTGGTCCCACGGTGTAAGATGAACAACAGGTGGTCCTAAGTCCTAATGGTCCTGTACAGTCCGTTGTTACATACATAAATTTTTGTGAACATGGGTCATTTCTGCTTTCTTGCGCCAGGTGTCGTAATAGGAAGCTAGGACTGGGCAGACAAGCACACCTCACCTGGAGGCAGTAAACACTGCAAGGGAGAAATAAAAATAATAAATGTAATTGTAAAATAACATTAAAATTTGTATTATTAAATTTGAATGTAAATGAATTGAAATGGGTGAAAAATTTTGTGTAAAAGACTGTGAAAATTGCTCAACATTATTTAGTGCACCAAAAAATGATTGTTTAGAACGGCTTGATCAAAACCTCTGAAATTCTGGAATTATGTTAATAAAGTATGCCAAATTTTTTTGCGATAGTAAATCACTGAGGTCAACGACTTGATTTTTTTGCAAATCGCTACTGAAAATTTACCAGTTTAACACCTACTCTTACGGACAGTGGTCACAAAATCAACTACATCTTCGGAAATCTTTGATTAACCTAAAAAATTTCAAATAGCTCTCGTGTATATTTTTACAAAAAATCTATTAAATTCTTAAAAATATAGGGTCAACAACTTAATTTAAGAGAAAATTAGAAGAAAAGTATGAAATATTAATTTAGCTTGCCTCGCAACATTTTCCAATTTCCACAATTATCATTTTGCGGTACTTTTCTGGCAATTTCTTAATATTGTACTTTGGTTTTATCGAAATAACCATATTTATTGAAAAGCTTAGCGTTGAAAAGCTTGGATACTTTAGGGGCCCTTATGGCACTCTATACCGACGCCTCCGACGAAGAAGCGTACTTGACGTCACGTTACAATGCTAATGTAAATGAAGGCTGACCGTCCGGTACGCTTCTTTGTCGGAGGCGTGGATGTCGGGTATACCCTAGGTACGTTACCAACCGCACAATTCACCTTAAAAAGTACTAATGATGTCAGTTACGATTTCGTTTAATAATGTACGTCAGCATTAAAGTTTTCTTGGACTGTAGTACCAGGAACATGGCGCCTGGTGGACACTTTTTTAGCATAAAGTGTCGCAACTGTGTGAACTGTGACCTCGCGGTATTCCGGGTATTTGCTATGCGCTTATGGCAATCAAGTAATGCCATGAATAGAAAGAATAGATTTTTCTGTGTTTTGTCCTGGAAGCACGTCAGGACCCATATGGTTACTGATATCAGTAAGGCTAATGACGTGCTCCCTACCTTGAACACCTATATTGGTGGGGATACCCAAGCTCATCTTAAACGCCCTTATTTACACGGAGATAGCTCTGATGCTATGGTAGTATGCGTATCTGCATGTATACTACCTGAGTACAGTGCGTCACATACTACAGTAGCGCGCCCGTATAACGCAACAGTAGTATCGAGAGTCTGCTACGGTAGTATAAAGACCTACGTACAACTGTAGATCGTGAAACGCACTGCTATAGCTTCTGCTTTATACTACAGTAGCACCTTTGAGGCGCTGCAGAAGTATCGAATCTCACGTACTAAGTTAGCTCGGGACTCATTAGACGTACGACTCGCTTAAGCTCTGAATTAGAAATTTGTTGTTCAAGAGAGCGTTTTATGTTTTTCAACGTCTTTTTTTACGCTGATTACGGGAAAAATAATAAAATTTTTTAAATAATTGGATCAATGTGAAAATCGCGTTTGAAGTTTATTTTACCTATATCTCTTTAACGGTAACAGATACGACAAAAATAAAAATACCAGCGTGTAGGGCGGAAAATTTCCTATCGATTTGATCCATTACATATCTTCAGACAAATGCGAAGTTATTCTTTAAAAAATTGATTAAGCGTTTTCAACACTTGCTGTGAGAGTGAGTGAGACGGAGAGAGCGGCGGCGGTGCGCCAGCCACGATGAGCTAAAAGCTACGAGCCATATACTCCCTCTATGCTCCCCTATACGTGCGTGCGTTGTATACGTATATAAATCACGATATGCGTGGCGAGAGAGAAGCAAGAGGGGAAGCAGCAGCGAAAGCAAATGCTGGATTAGATAAAATATTTTTCTTTTTCAGGTTGCGGGCCACGCACTAAAATATTTCTAAGTCCTCAAAAGACATTTAATCATGAAAAAAAAGGTCTCTGAAGAAAGAGTTTTTTTCACGTTTCTTTGTATTTTCTATCGATTGGTAATAGTGTCAAATGAGTTTTTTTTTTAATTCTAGAAATANACTCGCACATAAGAGCTGCTTTGAAGGTGCGGTGGAACCTCTCGACCAGGCCGTTGCTTTGAGGGTGATAGGGCGTCGTGTGTACGTGCTTGGCTCCTACCATGCGTGCTAGAGCGGCAAAGAGAGATGACTCGAACTGTTGGCCCTGATCAGTGGTTATGGTTAGAGGGCAACCAAAGTTTGCAATCCACTCCTTTGTGAAAGCTGCGGCTACTGTTTCGGCTGTAATGTCAGCTAGAGGAACGGCTACTGGCCATCTGCTAAACCTATCCACCATAGTTAGGCAGTAACGCAGATTTCCTACCTGTGGCAAAGTGATGATGTCCAGATGGACATGCTCGAACCTGTTGTCCGGGAGATCAAATGACTGCAGGGCGGCTCTGTTGTGTCTGCTGACCTTAGAGAGTTGGCAGCCCTGGCAGGCCAAGCTCCAGCGGTTAGCGTCCTTTTTAATGCCAGGTCAGACGAATTTGGACGTCATCAACTTGACCATGGCACGAGCGCTTGGATGAGCGGGTGCGTGTAGAGCGTCGAAAGCCTGACGTCGTAGCGTTGCTGGTATGAAGGGCCTGACCGTTCCGTCCTTGACGTTTCAGGCGAGCTCCGTGTGCTCTATTCTTAACATCTGCAAGTCCAGGATGCCATTGTCCAGCAGATTTTTCAGCTCTTGGTCGTTTCTCTGAGCTGCTTCGATGTGATGTGCTCGAAGCCCAGAGGGCATCTCGATGGCGCAAGTTCTCGAGAGAGCATCTGCGACTGCATTGTCGTCTCCTTTGATGTGTTGGAAAGCTATATTGAATTGTAGCAGGTAGTCCAGATGCCGCTATCGACGAGGAGATGCCTTGTTGGAGGACTGCTCACCCGCGTAGATGAGGGGCTTGTGATCAGTCCGAAGTACGAAAGTGCGACCTTCTAGAAAACGGCTGAAATGCTTGACTGCAGTGTAGGCCGCGAGGAGCTCCTTGTCGTAAGTGCAGTAGTTGGTTTCGGCTGGCGTAAGCTTTCTTGAGTAGAACGACACTGGGCGCCACTCAGAGTCGACATGCTGCTCGAGGACTGCTCCGAGAGCTGAGTCTGAGGCGTCAGTGGATAGAGCCAGCGGTGCATGCGGAGACAAATAGAAGGAGACAGATGCATCTCGCAGAGCCTTTTTGCAGTTCTCAAAGGCTTGATCGGCATCCCTGTTCCAGCTCAGCTTGGCCTTTTTATTCTTGGGTGCTCCGACAAGCATATTGTTTAGAGGAGCTTGTAGAAAGGCTGCGTTAGGTATGCAGCGGCGATAATAATTCGTCATGCCCAAGAACCTACGGAGCTCCTGGATGGTAGTCGGCTTTGGGAACTTGTCGATGACGTCCACCTTGTGCGCTGGTGGCTTGAATCCTTCAGGTGTCAACGTAAATCCAAGGAAGTTGACTTCTTCTTTACCTATGTCGCACTTCTCTAGCTTCACGTAGAGATTCGCAGCTCGTAGAGTTTCAAAGAGCTTTTTTAAGTGCTGTAGGTGTTCCTCGTGACTTTTGGACGCGACGATTATGTCGTCCACGTAGGCGTGAGCGTAAGGGAGGTCTTGCAGCAGCGAGTCCATGAAGCGCTGAAATGTCTGTGTGGCATTTCTAAGGCCCATCGGCATACTCAAAAACTCATATAGACCAAAGGGCGTTGCCACAGCAGTCTTGCCGATGTCTTCCTCTGCCATGGGCACCTGGTAAAAAGCCTTCTCCAGGTCTACTGTGGAGAAGATCTTGGCGCCGTGACATCGATGCATGAGGTCCTCTATCACTGGGAGGGGGTAGCGATCCGGCTGTGTGCACGAGTTGAGACGCCGGTAATCGCCTGTGACTCGAAACGCTCCCCCTGGACGAGGCACCAGGTGAAGAGGACTAGACCACTGACTTGAAGATCGTCGCACAACTCCTCGGTCCAGCAGGTCGTTGAACATACGCTTGGCCACGTTCAGACGCTCACCNAAAAAAAAAAAAAAAAATCAATAAACAAACAAACAAAATATAGAAGTATGCGTGGCAAACAGACGAACAAAATAAGCGGCAGTCAATCCCCATTGGTCCTGTGGTTATTCCTCGCAAAATGTAAGAAACCTCGTTGTTTGAGGCAATATTAAGTGAAGTACCTATTGTAAGGATTTGTAACCCTGCACAAGGTTTTTTTGTTTGTTGATAATGACGTCACAACGCAATTATTAATTAAAAAATGCATTTGCCAATTTATAAATGAAGCCAATTATAGCTATATAAATACAGCTATGGTTGATAGTAAAATAATAGCTGATAATTTTTGACTGAGTGGATAGTAAATTTTTCAAGTGAACTTTTTTACCTGAGATCTTGAGTGAGATCTCATCTGATGGTCGCAGATAAGGAATATTTTGATACGAATATTTCTTTATGGCTCAATCATTATTTCATTAAAAATATTTCATAATAGCGTATATTCATAAAACAAAGTCGTAAAACGGGTTATTGGCATATTTTTTTTACCGTCAAAAATACAATTAAGTGTCAAGTAAGATTTCTATTATTGCAATTTATGAATATTTTTTCACAACATAAGAATTTTGTAAGTGTTTTTTTCATTAAAAAGCTCAGTACAACTTCCATACCAGAGTATTACATAAGATTGCTTAAAGAATACCAAAAGAATACTTCGTTAACTTTAATGAGAATTCCTTTAGTCTTCTTTTTAAATTATATAA